GACTGGCTGGTTGACGTTTTTTGTCAGACAGAAGTGACAGTTTTGGCACTACACAGACAGGAAGGGAGTGGCGCTGTTTTGACGCCGAGGAAGAGCATCGGTGGGCGGAGGCCCCAGATTGATTTCGCTTCACGCCAATCCTGGATCGTTCATTCTTGCTTCTTTGCCTGCAGCTCGATTTTGTCGAACAGGTCAAGCGGTCACGTTTTGGTGTCAGTTTATGAGCTGCCCTCGGCATTTTTTTCAGTCGGGCAACTTTGCGTGGGCACTTTCTACGGCCCAGTCGGCCACGTGACGGGTTTTTGAACCGCAAATCAATAAAAGGTGCAATATTAGGGGCATGGCTGTTCTTGCACCATTTTGCTGCTGAACATGCATCTGACTGCCAACGGAACTCAGCTATCCCTGTCTTTTTTAACGTTCCGACAGAAGCTCTGATAGCCGTAACAGCTGGTAGTATAGGCAGATGGTATTGTCGGCAAAGATAAGAGAGACTGGCGTGACCATTTCTGGCTGATTAATCGTCGTGAGCCAATCATAAGTTAGACTCAAGTGGTTCCGCATCCGAGCCTCAAAGTCGCGACCTCTTTGATCAGGGTCAGACACCGAAAACCGAAGCAAACAACAGGCTTCGAGTCCTCAACGTTCTTATATACAGTATGGCAATTCCTGCATGCAACCTTCATGGCGAAATTTAACTTGGTAGTTTAGCACATATTTGGACCGGTTATTTTGGTCAACTGAGTGAATTTAATGATTGGAAAGGCGTTAGTTTGGAAAAATGCCCTCTTATAAAAACTTATGAAGCGAAGAAGGCACTAATTTTGGCTAAATTATGAGTAAGTTAGTATCGAAGAAATTTCCTATGCTATAAGCTACAACAGAACCAATGTTTTTATTAATATGCATTGTGCTATGAAGGAATTCCAGAATAAGTAAACAAGGTGGAATAATCATCCCTTCCAGAACTGGAAAAGCTTCTCCGAAGTTGCTCAAACTTTAGTGAGGCAAAGTTTAAGGAATCGTATTTATTTTCATAAACAAGCAAAAATTTTAGTTTTAAAAATAATGTTTTTGCTATTTTGTTAAGATTTGTGTCATAAAGTGCAGCAATAAGTTTGTATGAACAAATGGTTTGACTCCACCGATAACTATGAGCGCATAAGCAAACTTTGCCATATATTTTACCGTGAAGGTGATGCAAAGGAGACCTTATTAAATAAAAGTCCTTTAGAAATATACGTTTTTGTAAACTACACATTCCGCTTGTGTGTTATTAGGAAACGGAACAGATAGAAGAATAATAAGTATTTAAAAAATGACCATGTAGATGGCCACTCTTCCTTGCACTCGCAAGCTTATAACAAATCGTGGAATTAACCAATTTATTCGAAAAACCATCCATTATAAAGAGAAAAGTAAGTGCTTTACTTTCCAGTCCAATTGAACAGTTCATTTTCAGGTATATTAAAAAAATTGTCAAAAGTATCCGATTTCATTGTGACATTACCTTGAAAGTAGTTTGTATACACAGCAGTTCGTCAGCTGCATATCTAAATCACGCACTTTTTAAGGAGCTAACCTATCATGGGAAATTGATTTATTAATCTTAGGAATAACAATATGCGAAATATCTTGCGGACGTTATCTTTCCTCCAGCGTGTGGTTTGATGTTTCGAGGCATTTCTAAATATGATCCACATGACCGTCTTCATATGAACTAATATCCAAAAAATATTTTTTTTCGGTAAAGGCTCTTTACGTATGCATATCTTATTTGAAAGTTTTTGATGTAAACGTCGAATAGAAGCACAATTTATCAATTTTTCTACGAAGACACTGAA